AATGCTGAGTTAAATTTTTAGCTTGATGGTTCATCTTCACATGTAAATATTTTTGGTAGAATTACAAATTCCACAATGAAAGTCTAGCAACACAGCTAACTTAGCAAAAGCCCTCATATTTCTCGAAGTCAGGAGAGGGTAATATTTCTCCCCCCCCCTCCTCCTAACTAGTTCCCCCAATGCTCCTGAAAACATCTCTGCTGAGCGCAAAAATCCTCAAACTCATCCCTCAATCCTATCTACTCAATCCCTCATCATCTGGCGTCCCCATGGCTCAGATATAAATGAAGCCCCTCCCCCCCTTATTTTCCATCAAAATTCAAAATGTAAGTAGGTACGTTTAGAATTTGATTTCAATGCCTCAGAACGCTGCGGGGCCCACACACAAGCTTGTGCCAGATATGCTAAAGATTAGAGTCCCTTTATACCCAGAGTTAAGACAACTCACTTTTGGTTGGGCTGAAAGTGGCCTAAAAAAAAATCCAATTCTGATTGGTTCTCGCTCATGGAGGCCGAAACGAGTGCACCAAGATGGCGGTACCTCGAATGTGAACAAGAATAATGAAAATATTACCTAATTGTGGTTTATCAAGAGTAAAGTGTTATTTCCATCGGTCCAAATTGAAAATAGATTAAGAAATTATTCACAAACCAATCTCATTTTCTTTTTAATTGATCACTTTGTTGATGTTGTTGTTTTTGTGTGACAGACATCGCAGGATTCCTGATCCTTATCCCTCAATATCGTTCGTTTGGGTGCACTCGTTTCGGCCTCCATGGCCAGCCAAGGCCGGCTGCCAGTCAGCTGTTAATCGAGTTGTCTTAACTCTGGGTATAAAGGGACTCTACTAAAGATTTTCCCTCCTTAGGTAATCCTTAAATTATATCAGAAAAATGTCTTGCCAAAGAATTTTGAGAATTACCCTGGTTAGTACTTGGTTTGAACTCTTTTAGAAATTTAATCCCGATCAAAAAGGTCAATTCCCTGAGCTGAGCAGTTTAATTTTTCTCCGAGAGTGAAATTTGTGCTTGGCGCCATTATGTGATGTGCAAAGAGTAGAGGAGAGGAGAGAGCAACAGAGTATAATCATGGAGTCCTTCCGAGCGAGCTTCATGCACGCTCCACCAGCTACTCCCGCTCTGTGATCGCCTGCTCATTCGTAGGGGGTCTTTGCCTGCAAAAACGCTCAATCCAAAGTGGATAGCATAGCATGACAGATGCACATGCACATACACGAACATGTTGCGGCGCGGGTTAAATAGAGATAAGATAGGCGATGCGCTGCGCATACCCGATGGACCAGGGGGAGAGGGACAGAGGGCGCTTCTCGCAGTGGGAAACCCATCTCTCCACGCCACATCCAAAGACATAAAGACGGAGCACTAAAAGCAAAAAATGAAGCTTCTAGAGCTTCTTTTCAATCACCTCTACTATTGGCTAGAAGATTGGCGGCGAAATCGGGACAAGTTTGAATTCAAATGTAGGGCGGGAACTAATAAATAAAATTGCGGAAACAAAGTATTTTAGGTTGATTTTTGCCCAAATTCAGGTACACACTCATATTTTATTAACTTTAGGTTAGTTTCGGTCCGTCGTCGACCGACTGATTTCATTTGGAAGTAACGTAGATCTAGAACTGTAACGGCCTGTTTGAACCTGCAGAACCACCATAAGCAGAAGAAAAACTAACTTTATCTGAGATTACTGCCTGTTACCGAGCAAAAGTAGGTGTAATATATTAGGACGCAGACCGAACTTTCTTAATATAATCGTTTAAAGCATTTAAAACACGTTTCGAAGAAGAAATAAGGAAAAATCAAGAGGACAAGTTCAAATCAAATTTCCGTTTGCCGCCATGGATTCCCGCGCTCATTTACACACTCACACAAACGCGCAGCGCCGAACCTAGCTTCACTTTTTCCCCGTGCTTTTAGATACTAGAGTCCCTTCATACTGAGAGTCAAGACAATGTGAATCCATTTCTGATTGGTTCCCGTATTTTAGGCCTTCACAGTGTCACAAACGGGAATAAAGATTACAGTTTCACCGATTATAATCTGGAATGGACCGGGGAAGAACGGGTTCGGCAAGGAACAAACGGAATGAGGGAAGGAACGAAGAAAGGAATTCGAGAATGGGCCGATCAAAGATTACGAAAAACGTTCAATTTCTGTAATCTTTATTCCCGTTTGTGACTCCATGAGGGGTGTTGTCTTGACTCTCAGTATAAAGGGACTCTATTAGACACGAGCACTCCGTCTTTATGTCTTTGGCCACATCCAAGAGCGGGGTAAAACCTGACGCGGACCCGCGGTATAACCTAGGCACAGCATGCCCCGCGGAGCCGCCTCTTAGGCGCCTCATCTACGCGTAACAATCGCCGCCCCTGGACAGCTCTCCAGAGTGGCTCCAGAAAATAAATGACGGAGAAGAATCCTGCTAACTGGGCGAAGGTAAAAAACAATTTTGTTGTGTGTTTACATAATTAGAAGTACGTAAGTAGTTTAATTAGTATTTTAAATATTTGAAACTTAAAAGTTTCTGTGAAATTTCAAATTTTTGAACTTTTCCTGATGACCATTCTTATGTGGCTTAGGGGAAAAAATGTATGCGGTAGATTTCTTTAGAATTATTCTAGCTTTATTATGAAAAGAAAGCAAAAATCGACAAGTAGTTTCCGAGATATAGCGCGCCTAAAAAACGCTATGTGGCCATCTTTATACCGGTCACCGTCTTGGTTCCTACACGGGCCCCAGAGTGCTTCCCCTTCTAAAAGCAAAACACATAAGACACTGGACACACCATAAGAATGATCCCTGAAAGCGGCAATTTCCAATCAAAAGGATCAAGGAGGTTTTGTCCATTTTTGGATCGTACACACAGCGGACTATAATATTTCGGTACCTACTTTTCACGATTGAAACACCCTATCATTATTGCCTCATCCGAGCTGAAAAATTTGGCGCAGCAACTTTGATACGGTACAAAGCTTTTCGATTTCGCCGGTTCCACAATTTCCCTTAAACCAAGCTGAAAATTACCCGCGAATAGGAAACACATACGTCGGTCATATACGATGGCACACTGTGACTTTTGGTTTTCTTACTGTAAATAATAAAGTGCACTAAATAACAAAAAAGGGCGTAGGTACCCACTAGGACCTTTTCTAATTTTATTCATTTTTGTTCACAGCTTTATCCGATCCTTCATGGGAAAGTTCAGCGGTAGCAACCGTACATTCTTCGTTGTTGACTGTAATGGTGGCGTGTCTCGCTAGATGTATATTTTTTACTACGTATGGATAAAAACATCATCGACGCGCGCGTCAGGCACGAGCTCAAAGGCAAAGCACCTAACAACCCTAGTGACTTCCTACTTATGCGATGAGAACATTAGCGCAGATAGAGTACAGTAAAATCATATTTTGCCTCGGTGACTCATCAATAAAACGCTGGTGCCTTCTAGAGTCCCTTTATACTGAGAGTCAAGACAATTTGAATCCATTTCTGATTGGTTCCCGTATTTTAGGCCTCCACAGTGTCACAAACGGGAATAAAGATTACATTTTTACCAATTGCAAAGATTATAGTCTGGAATGGACCAGGGAATTACGGGTTCGGCAAGGAACAAACGGAATGAGAGGAGGAACGGAGAAAGGCATTTGAGAATGGGCCGATCAAAGATTACGAAAAACGTTCAATTTCTGTAATCTTTATTCCCGTTTGTGACATCCATGAGCCGAATTGTCTTGACTCTCAGTATAAAGGGACTCTAGTGCCTTCGTCCTCGCATCATCGATGATTGGCTAACTTCAGGCTGGTTAGGATAGGCTAACCCCTAGGAATATTGACTGCGATGTTCAAGAGTAGTGCAAAATTTAACCAAATGCCAAAACTAGGATACGCTAGATATTTTCCAAATTAATTTGGAAAAGGTAAGTACTCTCAGAGTAACTATCCAAGAGAGGTCATGGCAGGGGTTTGAGCAGAGCCCGATTAGTAAAAATATTGCAAATGGACTGCTTGAAAACGATTGTTTGAAACTATATCAAGGTGTTTGTATGTTTTATATGTAATTCATTTCCAACGTAACAAGATCATTCGGTGTAAGTTCCAAAGGATAAGATCTGTAATTTTGAAAAGAAGTATGTCATTTGTGTTTTTTATTGCGGAATGGCTATACCAAAGACATAAAGACGGAGTGCTCGTATCTAAAAGCACGGGGAAAAAGTGAAGCTAGGTTCGGCTAGAGTCTTTAGGTTCGGCGCTGCGCGCTTGTGTGAGTGTGTAAATGAGCGCGGGAATCCATGGCGGCAAACGGAAATTTGATTTGAACTTGTCCTCTTGATTTTTCCACATTTCTTCTTTGAAACGTATTTTAAATTCCTAAAACGAATATACTAAGAAAGTTCGGTCTGCGTCCTAATATAATACACCTACTTTTGCTCGGTAACAGGCAGTAATCTCAGATAAAGTTAGTTTTTCTTCTGCTCATGGTGGTTCTGCAGGTTCAAACAGGCCGTTACAGTGCTAGATGACCGTTACTCCCAAATGAAATTAATCGGTCGACGACGGACCAAAGCTAACCTAAAGTTAAAGAAATATGAGTGGGTAAGTGAATTTGGGCAAAAATCAACCTAGAATACTTTGTTTCCGCAATTATTTTATTAAGTTCCCTCCCTATATTTGAATTCAAACTTGTCCCGATTTCGCCGCCAATCCTCTAGCCAATAGTAGAGGTGGTTGAAAAGAAGCTTCATTTTTTGCTTTTAGCCCTCCGTCTTTATGTCTTTGGGCTATAGGTACCCCTTTACCCTAAAATACAGCTTAATTTTTTCTTTCATTCCGCTGAACAAAAGATGTTACTTAATCCTGACTAATATTGACATCATTTAGATCTTTACTGCATGCTGGGTTTGTTAGTTGTGAATTACCTATATAAGAGATAATAGCTATTTCAAACCAATGAATATCCGTAAAGCAAATTTGAAAAAAGATTGCCGATAAATTGATAATTTATTTACAATTTTATTATCCCATCGATTCGCTATTTATTGGTAATTTATTGCCGATAATCGACCGATCTAGGAGTAAAAAACCGACCAATTATGTGGCAGTTTTGTTGCCGATCGGATTGCAATAAAATTGGAATATGTTTTCAATGAGATGCAGCAATAACCCATCAGGTAGGTGAGTTCGGGTAACTGGGCAAGAGTTCGGAGAAAAATTTAAAAATTTCAACTTCATGATTTTTTCCCCCATCATTAGCGGGTACTTTTTTTTTATTTTTTTCTAGTATAACAACACCTAGTATAAATGTAGGATGAGTCAAAAGTCCATGAATCAATTTTTCTCACAAAACTTCAAAAATGTCCTGTTTTTTGACCCAGTTACCCAACGTCGCGGAGTAACTGGACCCCCCCCCCCCCCCCCCCCCNAATTTTTTAATTCTCATGGGCCAGAGGGTGATGTCTTTCTCATGAAGGTTCAATAAAATGTCATTTTTATATAAAAATGTTTGAATGGTTAAAAATGATGATGTAACAGTTGGCGGTAAAAACCCTTCAAATCTGAGAATTGCGAATAACGGTAAAAAAAAAAACATTTCCTTCTAAATTAATGCTTTGAACTTTCAGTATTACTGCTTATCAAGAAGTATATTATATTTCAGGACACTTCTTGGCCAGTTTCAGTAAGATTTAGGATAATAAAGTTTAAAAAAAAGAAGTAAAAAAACGTGAGCCGCAAGGCTGATTACGGTAAAGTAAAGCGCAAAAAATTTCCTGTTTAAGCAAAGTAACTTTAGGTGTTATTAAATTCATTAAGGGGAAGAGGTTCAAGAATAATATTTTGACTGAATGGAATGAAATAAAAAAGATTAGGTAATAAAGTTTGAACTGCAGGTGACACTTACCCAGTTACCTTGGAATGGGTGCGACCAGTTACCCCAGGAAGGGGAAATTTTCAAGGCAACTGGGCATCAACCCTTTGCAGCCAGTGTTTTCATCCAATAATGTTGTAGTTTCTCACGCATTACAAAATACATCATACATGAAGAGGACATATTGATGTTGAATAAAATATTTACTTGGAGTGAGGTTTGAAGCTCTTTCCGGGACCACCTTCGGCGTTGTTTTGAAAAGAGAAAGAAAGCTGTTCAATTTTCGGCACTTCACCATTTTTTCTTCTTTTTTCTCTCTCTCTCTCTCTTGACGTTATGTTTACATGTTCTATGAGCCTTACGTCATAATGAAGGTATACAGAATATAAAAAACAATTTTAGCACCAATAGGGTAGAAATACAGAGGTTATGGCCCAGTTACCCCTCCGCCCAGTTACCCGACCTCACCTTATCTCAACTTTTTTTTTTTTTTATACTGAAGCCGGAATCACACGCTGAAAGTGGAAGCTGAATGTGGCTGGAATGTGGAAGTAATCGGCCCGATGCTTGAATTTTTTGCGTGTTGCGTTCAAAATTCAGTAACGATGCATACTTTGTATGAAAATAACTCGAATTTCCGAAATTTCCGCCGTTGAGCGATGACTATTGACTTCCATATTCAGCTGCCAAATACAGCGTGTGATTCCGGCATGAGAATTGAGGATTTATTAGAGTCGAAAAAGGAAAAGCAAACGATGTAAAATAACTCGCCCAAAAGATTCATTGTACACAGACTCAACAGTATATCTGAAAGAATTGTATTCCTTGGTCTTTTCTATTCTCCGTCAAGAAGTAGTATTCCTTTTTATATCTTACTTGCAAGAAACCCGTGCTACGCACAGGAAAACCCCAACAATCAGTAATAACTGTGATTAGTGATTAGGTACAACATTTTGTCTCTGGATTTTGATTTACTTTTTCAAAATTGGCGAGTCCCACTGCTTTGGTAAAAATGCAGAGATTGTATTGCTATTAATTTTAGAATTTTTCTTGTAATACGTATTTGCAAAGTATTAAATCATTATTTAATGGTCACTGTTTCTTTAAAACCTTTAAATATTAGTTAGGTAAAGTTTATGCAAGGTACTTGCCAGGTGACTACAGCCGTTCACTGGTCGGTGAAGCATATTATTGAGACGTTCATATCATCCTCACGTATTAAACTTTATCAGTAAAATTATTATGACACATTATTTTTTAATGAAAAACTTTGAATTTTGTCCAGCTGTATGTTCTTCTCCTCCTACAATTTATGGGATATTTTGAGTGGGGAGAGGGAGAAAAGTCTATAAAGCATCACGCATATAATTAATAAGTGGGTGGGTTGGGTTGCATAGTAGTATTGAATAGGAAGGGGGGTTCAAAAATGCCAATAAAGTGAGTTCCCCATTTTTAATTGCGATTACAAAAAGAGGACCAAAAACTACATAAGTGGAGGTGTACGATATATTCCGCAGAGAAAATCGCGATCAATGTTTACAATGGGTCTGTTTCCAAAAAATCGTAAGCGCAGATTGAGGGAGCCATACTTGTGATTCTAATGTTACATGCCGGTAGGGGGAGTTGCTGCCCGCGGAGTAGCCAAAGGGGCTGGTCTGCGACCTTCAATGTCGAAATTTGCAATTTTTCTTGATGGTTTTGCAATGTTGAACATTGGAATCATAAGTTTAATTCCTTAGAATTTTGTAATCAGCGCACACGATTTTTTTAAAAACAGGGCTTTTTTAAAATTTTGGTCACAAATATCTCGGTGAAGAATATCGTAGAGACTTCCATTTTAGCTCATAAAGTTTCTTTTTTTTCTTCTTGAAATTTTCATTCGAAAATTTTGAGTTTGTGGCCACCGCCTCCGATATTTAAAGTGCTCACCGGCAGTTCCTTCCGTCCTTAGATCGGTGTAAAAATTTTATTTGGCTGAAAGCAACCGATCCAAAGTTGGGGGTGGGGGTGAACTTATACGAGGCCCTGTTTGGATCGTATTCGAAAGTGGTTCTTTGTATCCTTCAGTTCAAATAATCTACAATCATACATATATATAAGCTCCGAGACCTCCTGAATTTGCATTCCTGGTAACACTTAATTCCAGCGTTCTACCTGGCCGATTTTCTTGATTTTTGCGGCTATTGACAGGAAATTGTCTCTAGATGAGCTCGTTTTATTCAGATTTTGAAAATATGACCCACATTTTTTGTATTACGCGGTAAAGTTGCGAATTCTCCCATTTAAACAATGAAAATGTTTATTTTTTGTCATAGTTCGTTTGAGCGTCCTATTAGGCCGACTTCCATAATGTTGTGATGCCTGGGGCAAAAAGGCCTAGAAACCCACCGGTGGCAGTGAGCAGGTGGGTTCCGCGCATTTTCGGGCCGGTGGACTTTGGTCTCAGAGTGTGAGAGAGGCTGGAAATGTGCGCGGAAGACCATTTGTTTACAGTTGTTGATGGTGTTGACTGTTTGAGGCGCGCCTCGGAGCCGAAATTGGGCAATTTGTTTGGGAAAACTAAGCGAGAAGTGTGTCGGTTGCTGGACGTGGACCCGAGGCTATAAAGATCCGGACGGGCCGGTGAAGGGGGTTCTTTCTTGCGGATGGACCAGGCTAGCGTTCGGTGTTGATCCTGTGTTGTAGGGTGTGTGTGTGTGTGTGCGCGCGCGCGCGTGTGTGTGTGTGCTTGTGTGTGTGAGGGTGGGTGTGAGGGTGAGGGTGTGTGTGTGTGAGTGTGTGTGTGAGGGTGTGTGTGTGTGAGGGGGTGTGTGTGTGAGGGTGTGTGTGTGTGAGAGGGTGTGTGAGGGTGAGGGTGTGTGTGTGTGTGTGTGAGAGAGAATAAAGTAGTTTTTCGAGTTTACGTGAATTTGGCGTATTCCCTAGCATTTTCCCTGGAGGAGTCCCCTGAGCTACGCCGTTTGAGCTGTGCCCCCCCCCCCGCGACCCATTACAATATTTGAGGCTATCGACAGATGATGGTCTCTAAATGAGCCCGCTACAATCAGATTTCGGAAATATGACCCAGATTTTTTTATAATAGAAGTATACCGGGGAGCTTAGAAAGAGCCTTATGTAGGTATTTCAATTCAATGAATAATTTGCAAGAAAGAGGGAAGAACAATTACTTTCCGTCACTAGAAACCATTTAATTGAAATCGAGAAGGGAACACACGAAGTGAAGAGCTAGGTACTCAAATTTCATCTTCAGGATTTTAAACAACATCCATTCATTCAGAGTCAGGGCATGCATTTTCACAAAATTTGTGTGTAGCTCCATGTCGAAGAATGTAACTTTTAGCTGACTTTCAGGTAAAACGCTTAGCATACTGAGCCATTATCAACCAAAAAAATCAGGTTCAAAGTGAATACAAGTCTTGCGGAGGATGTGATGACATAGAAAATGAGTGGATGAGAAATGGAGTCTAAATCACTGATGTTATAGCTCGCATTGAGACAAACTATCAAAAAATGGTACACACTAGCGATGGGCCAGTGGCAAACTTTTGCTACAGCAATAGTAAGAGTTGTCTCTAATAAATAATGTCTCAAAAATCACGATGAGCGCATCGGTAAAGTCTGAAATGCACTCATGACTTCACAATATGCGTAAGAAATTTGCAGTTTTTTGAGCTTCCCGCTTCAAAAACGGTACTACCGCACAGGTGAACATTTTGTTAGAGGAGTCGTTCCATCGTCGCCAATATTCATCATGGCCGACGCCAATCTGCCAAAACACGTGTGACGGGACGAGATAACACCTGACCAGGATAAGACCAGATAACAATCGGCGTGTTTAGGGGAGACCGGGGCTATGTTGACCAGATTTTTTGAAAACTTGTGTCCGAAGAAACAGAAGAATAGAATGCCATTTCTTTAATGCTCTAATCCTTGAGCATAAAGTGTAAAATTAAAATCAACTGAAAACATTGTACAAAATACTTTAATATTGTGAGTTTCATGCGTTTTTAAAAGAAAATCCATTTTGGTCAACATAGCCCCTGCTTGGGGCTATATTGGCCACCCCCGGGGCTAAGTGAGCCACCTGTGAGGAAGCTATGTTAACTTTGTTCAGTTGATTATAATTGCACTTAAAAAAGCTTAGTATTATGCCCTTACACTTATCTTTCGTAATGTTTGTAAAACTCGATACCGTTGGAGCTAAAAATTTAAAAATAAAAAAATTTTTTTTTAAAGAACAGTATCAAATTTAATAAGTGAGTTGGCGTGAAAAGCAACTTAAAAAATAATAAGAAGATCTACTTCTCCACTAAATAGGACCGTTTTAAACTCAAAGAAAATGGATTTGAAACCTTACGCAAAAAAAAAAAAAATATAAAATGTATGTTTTCTTAGTAGGTCAACGTAGCCCCAGAAAAATGGTCCACATAGCCCCGATTGAGGTTACCTCAAATCAAAGTCATCCAACTAAGAAACAAGGAGTCAAAAGCCATTAATCCATACACTAAAATCAAAGGAAAGGGGTCTACTTCAAATAGAAACAAAGATTAATAAGATACAAAATAAATACTCGTCACAGCAAACAAAATTCAAAATTCAAAAAATCACATTTTCGGGCTATTTTCGAAGGTAAACAAGAATGTTACAGCATAGAGCATAACAGAGGGGGACACCATCGATGTTGATATTTTAAATTGTGAGTCTACATCGCTACCAACCTTTCTTCTCATCAAAACATAAAATTTACGTTTTCCTCTACAAAATTCTCACGATGGTTATCATAGCCCCGTGGCCAACATAACCCCGGTCTCCCCTACGTTCATATTTTCCTTGCCCGCCTTGATCTCTCCACGAATTACACGCGGAACTGTGGAAGCGTCGGTCATGATGAATATTGCCGACGATGAAACGACTCCTCTGACAAAATGTTCACCTTTGCCGTAGTATCGTTTTTGAAGCAGGAAGCTCAAAAAAATGCAACTTTCTTACGCAGATTGTGAAATTATGAGTGCATTTCAGACTTTGCCGATGCGATCGGCAAAGTTTTCATCGTGATTTTTGAGACGTTATCTATAAGACACAACTCTTATTTTTGCTCTTGCCAAGGTTTGCAACAGGGCCATTCATAATATACCAGTTAATAATTATGGAACACTGAACAGTTTAATAAGTTTATGGTCACAGAATAGAAAATCGTGGAAGGCTATTGAAGCTTGGGTGGCTTCCTTAGAGTTAACGTGTGATATATGTAATACGTTGAGGGTATTTCTTTAAAAAGAGGCATTAAGGGAAGGAGATTCAATCACTGATTCTATTTGGATCGCTGTAAGTCTAAGCTGTAATCGCTGTAAGTCTGTAAGTAAGAAGTCTTCTCCAAAATATTTAAGTTCTGAAATAAAGCATAAGGCTTTGCATCATGAAGCTTCGGAATGGTAAGTAACAGTGTCAGGATTTCATCGTGCGATCTGAAGTAAAACAATTTGTAAGCCTTTCCTAAGATAATGTAAGAGTAAGAGGGTATTTTACAAATGAAATTAGCTTTCTAAGCAAAAAATTCCACGGTTATAATATTTAGGACATGAAAGATTCTGCAAATGGCAGCTGAGAATTTCACCTTTTACGGGATTGTCTCCAAAGCAAAATAGAGACTTTATTAAAAAAAAAAAAAAAAAAAAAAAAGATACAAGTTTAACCAAAAGCTATTGCAAAAAAAGATGCACTCTATACTTTCAAGAAGAATTAATCCCAAATTCACTTCTCTACCATGGAAACAGAGTATCTGAGTGTACTGAAATGACTGAGTAAACTAGCACAAAATAGGGCGATATTTCCGGATTTTCAAACGTTTCAAGGAGATTGCAGGTCGAGATATTTGTAAAGCAAGGTGTGATATTTTAGTTGAACGAAAAACAGTTCAGAGAAGATGCCAAAAGCGAGTGAAATCTTTGTTCAAAAACGAGTAAAATCTATGTCAAAAGGTGAGATTGATAACAGCGAGTTGGTTATTTTGATTAGTACTCAATATTCGAACGCGTAGAGGTCCCGCTGACCGCACCCGCTCAAATGTGTGGCAAGAAGCCTAGGGGCTATTTTGGCGCTATATTAGATTGCTGCCAAAGCGCGGGCAAACGCGATATTATGAAATTTCGAACTTCAAAAGTCGTTTTCGGAGGAAAAAACGGCTCGAAAAAATCTAAAAAAATTACTATGTGATCAGGAGACAATGTAGATTCTGAAAATGTGAGAAATAGAAACCGGTTAACAAGCTCATTCGGCAAATTTCCTGTACTGATATGCACGGGGAAAAAATTCAGAGAAAATGTTTTTATTGAACATTTTATTTTAAGCCAAAAATTTTAACATCAATTTCCATAAATTGATTTAAAATGATCCGGAAATAAGGAGAAACAACAAACATGTTTAAGAGGATAAATGAAAAATGTGTACATGAAAAACAATCAATCAAGGAAGAAAATGGTGCAGTGATTCAACGATAAGTGCACAATCAAACTTCCTGCGAACTCCAACGAATAAAATTGATGACAACGGTTCAAACTGGAGTATTAGAACGTACTTCGCTGACACTACTTCCGTTCAAGCTTGCAAGAGCAGCAGATACTAGCAGCAGAAAAAAAGAAGCTAGCAGCGAGCAGTTTAAAAAAGTTATCGCAACGGAGAAAACATGCCACAAATTAGACTTTGACAGCCTTTCAATTTATTAAAGTTTTGGCTTATTATTTTGCAAAAGAGTCAGATATGAGTAGAGAAAACATTAGCAAACACAGAGTCTAGAGTCGAGTTCCACCTTTCATAGCAGCGTTTCTGAGGCACTGTTTCAATTTATCAAATTCAGCAGCACAAATATTTTTCTTAAGTTCATCTTCATTTTTCAGAACACACTGAGCGTATTGCATACTTTCTGTTCCACATTGGCTTAAAAACTTGGGATACTTGCGCAGACGGTCCTTAGCTGTTTTGATAACATCCATTGTTCAGGTTTTTCTGCTTTCTTCTCTGTAATGAAAAACAGATATGTTATCTAAAGAAGCGCGGCAGATTACTGAATATTTAATTGATTCGAATGTTTTTTTCAGCACAAATCTTCCGGAACAAATGAGGCAGGAGCTGGACTTGGAACAAGGTGTAAATCTGCACTTTGACCCATGTGCCAGGTCGACGGCCTCTCGTTACAGAGGGAGTATTTATGTTACCATACTCGTTACGTCCGGAGAAAAATGCATGCATTTAAAATAGGAGACCGAACGATTCCCTCGTTAGAGAGCGGTTTTCGTTACAACGAAGGCCGTTCCTGAGACTGCTGCACTTTCAAACAACACAATATTTTTGAAATAAAAGTGATTCAAATGACCTACTGACGGAGACAAAAACAGTTATTCCCCAACGTGAGTTGAATTTGCAAAGTTTTACCCTGTCTATCGTAGTCTACGTAAAATTTTGATACGTGGACACCAACTAATAGTATGAAAATGTCAATTTAAGCCCAAAAGTTTGTAGCCGCATTGCAGAAAAATACGAATTAAACTACAGTATTGTGAGGTAGGTATTGGACTATGTGGCAACATTGCAAAAAGTATTGTATTTTGCCCCTTCATTCTCCGGGTGATTCGAATAATATCTATTATTACATGTTGCCCCTTCAACATGCAGGTAATGCAACAGCGATGTTAGGCGCATAAACAAAAAATAAATTAATACAAATCAATGATTTAATTATTGGTAAAACTTCGCAAGATCGGATTTTACAGTAGCGCCGGATAGTGCGAAAAATTAAATTTTAACAGTGATGCTAGATGGTGCGAGAAATTAAATTATTATTACTAACAGTGTAGTCAGATTGCGCATAAATTGGTAAATTTCAGACTTGAGATATTTCGGAAAGAGTAGACCGTATTTTCCGGAATGGGTCTGGTATCCGGAACTGTAGAGTAGGGTCTAGTTCGGGAATTTTAACTTTTAGTGGCGGGAGTACGTTTCTAAGCGCTTAAAGGTGTGTATCAGAACCTTGGACCTTAGTGCTGGGTACTTTGGAACCAGCAATTGGGTCTACATGTTGCAATACTCAGGTTGATGAATCAAATAAATAAAAATTTTTTTTTTTAGAAAGTTGTTGTTACCGTTTTAATAACATCTATATTGAATCGGCTTATGCGAAAACCGCTAATGTTCATTTTCTCTAATTTTGAGAGAACTGCCAAAAACTGTAGGTAGAAGCCTTCAAAACGTGGGATTAATAAATGTTCAGAATTTGATATTACAGGAGTGGATTGTAGAAAAGGATCCCTAACAGTTTCCAGCTCCTCTTCTGTCTCGGACGGAGTAATTAAAGAGAAAGGACTCTTGACATCAGCAGTTTTCGCATGATACGTGAAAATCGCCGAGTCTTGGAGCCGTTTGATTTTTTCAAAATTCATTCTTAAGATATTAAAGCGCTAGATTATCATTCAAATAAAGTTAAAAATTAAATTCTGGAGAATTGCGCCACTTACAACAAGTTTCATCGTGAAACTACCAGCAATAAACTGGACAATTAGTCCACGCGCCTGGTGGCTAAAAATGAGGCTACCTAGAATTTCGGGTACACAACGATTATTTTGGCTTACTATGTGTTTTTTGGGTCGCAGAATCCGAATCTGAAGTTTCCTGCCGCGTATCTGGTGAGCATTTTCCGCCATTTTGAAAAAATGCACTAAAAAGGCCTTTTTTACGGTGTTTTCTTATATAGCGGCTACGCATGACAAAAAGTCCCGGATTTAGTTAATGTTTTGAACAGCTGACATAATTTGGAAGAAAGTGGTATATGAATAAGCTAGGTTTGCTTAAAAATTGAGGAACCTCGGATCTCGGAACTTTGGAACGCTTCGGAACTTGCCTGACCGCGGCAAGCCGGATCGCGCGTTGATAGGTGCGCCGCGAAAACGTGAATGGGCGCGATGTTCACGATGCTGTATCTTCCTCAATTTTTAAGCAAACCTAGCATGCAGGGTGTTCGAAAAGTCCCCTCCCCCCCTCTAACTTTTGACCTAATTGAGGTAGAGATTTGAAACTTGGAGGGTGTTCTTAGATGAAAGGGAGCTACTTTTTGACCCCCCCCCAAAAATTTTGGGGGTCCCCCCTTGGGGGGGGGGTTACGGACCCTAACTTTTTTTTTCAAATGGGAAGACCCCCTTTGTGATACCTCGTTCGAAAGAGCATAAAAAAAGAACATTTTTCGCGCAAGCCCGAAGTCATTATCTCAAACCGTTTCAAAATGGCGGCCGGTCAAAGTTCAAAATGGCCGAAAATTGGCACCTCTGCTATTTGCACATGGATTTGCATGAAACTCGGTATCAGGGGGTATTTTGGCACAAGAAAAACGAATTTGACGTTAGATTTTTTAAAAAAAACCCTAATTTTTCAAAATGGCCGCCGGTTTAGGCTCAAAGTGGCCGACTATTTGACAAACTCGATTTCTTGCCAATGGATTCACCTGAAATTCGGTATCTGGGGGTAGTTTGACCCGAAAAGAACGAATTTGACGTTAGATTTTTAAACAAACCCTAATTTTTCAAAATGGCCGCCGATTAAAGTTCAAAACGGTCAACAGTTGGCAACCTCGACTTTTTGCCGATGAATTCGCCTGAAACTCAGCTAATCGTTTTCCTCCTACCCAGATACCCCCGAACACCGAGTTTCAGGCGAATTCATCGGCAAAAAGTCGAGGTTGCCAACTGTTGACCGTTTTGAACTTTAATCGGCGGCCATTTTGAAAAATTAGGGTTTATTTAAAAATCTAACGTCAAATTCGTTCTTCTCGGGTCAAAATACCCCCAGATACCGAATTTCAGGTGAATCCATTGGCAAGAAATCGAGTTTGTCAAATAGTCGGCCACTTTGAGCCTAAACCGGCGGCCATTTTGAAAAATTAGGGTTTTTTTAAAAAATCTAACGTCAAATTCGTTTTTCTTGTGCCAAAATACCCCCTGATACCGAGTTTCATGCAAATCCATGTGCAAATAGCAGAGGTGCCAATTTTCGGCCATTTTGAACTTTGACCGGCCGCCATTTTGAAACGGTTTGAGATAATGACTTCGGATTTGCGCGAAAAATTTTCTTCTTTTATGCTCTTTCGAACGAGGTATCACAAAGGGGGTCTTCCCATTTGAAAAAAAAAAGTTAGGGTCCGTAACCCCCCCCCCCCCCCCCCCCCCCC